TAATGCCACGTGATCTTCTCTGTTGAGCACATTTTCACACGCCCTGAATATGAGACAAAAATACTATTTACAAGCTGAACTCACCAGTGGTAGTGATAAACAACGGAATTGTGTAACAAATGTATTAAATTGCTGAGAAAATCAACCAGTATAGCCACTGATAACGTTTTTTTTTACAATATTTTTTTTAGTAAAATTCTGTTGTAATTGTAATTAAGAACTGTGCTCAACCTGTGATTAATGTATTGCACTAATTAAAATCAACAATGTAACGGAAGGGTAATGTATTTGTAAGATGTTTGTAAATGTACTGTATTGTAAATGTACTTTAGAAAGAGGTCGATTACAACACGGTTGATGCAACCTAAAATAAACATCTGTCAATGTATTCAAGAAAAAACAACAACAAGAAATTCGGAATTTGATAACATTTTGCAAATGTCATTAAAATTGGCAACATGAAAAGTACCCCCAAAATTAAAAATATATCTTAAATTCTAAAGGCCGCGACCCCAAACATATCAATAAGGGAATATCTATTTTGGGGAAAAGCTAGTGTACGATGTGTGTACTGTTCATAAGCTGAGGGACAGAGGATTTTAGAAAAAACACTTTTTCATATTGAGAGAGGAGAGGAACATAGAGATAAGTGAAATAGATGGAAGGAGATAGAAAAAATAGAGGATGAGGTAGTGGTAGAAAGAGAAGAGAAAGAGAGAGAGAGAGACGTAGATAAAGACAGAAGAAGAAAAATATGAGATAGAGAGATTGATAGAAAAAGAGATAGGAAGTGTTAAAGAAAAGAGGATGAGAAAAAATTGAAAAATGGGAAATATAAGGAAAGAGGGAAGAAAAGAAGCACGAGATATAACTGAAAAAAATAGAGAAAGAGGCAGTACAGTCAGGGTGACAAACATATCCTGACTGAAAATTATTACCTGTTCACAAAGGAAAGAGTGTAGTAGTCTTCGCAAAGGGTGCTAATATTGCACCACAGAACAATGGGGGTCCCCACAATGAGCTCGAGAGCTAACTCGCACCTCATTCGGACCGTCGAGAGACCAAAGTGGGCAACCTCGTACTTCGCGGGCCCGGCTGCTCAGCTGAGCGGCGAACCCGCACGAACACGCGTCGGCCCGCCGCAGCCGCCAGGGAAACGAAAAGTTGGTTGAAAGACGGGAGCACACAAATGGAGGCGGCGCTGCATACGTCGTTTGAGGTTGGTAGCGGAAGTGTAGGAAGAGATGGGAGGTGGGGCAGAGGAGTGTGGAGTAGAAATCAGAGAAAGTAAAGAAATAATGATTTTGATAATTAATTAATCTACAAGCAATTTACACTTTATCTGGAGTTTGAAGATTTTTTTTTGTGAATTCTGTTTATTTCCAATTTATTTCTACAGAAATATAAGGAAAATCTTTTAATACATGAGTGAAAATGTTACTTAACGGTAGCATTCCTATTTAAACAAATCGTTATATTTAGCTGTTTATGGTACTGTAGTCTTATTGTTTCTTCATTATTGTCTAATAGATTGATAGCGAGATCATTTGGATGATTTTCCAGTCTTGTCTAGTATTGCGGACTCGCGGACGTTATTTCTTCTTTGATGGTCTTGATTTGAAGGTCGTCGTGGAGAACTTCCTTGCTCGTGTACCTCGGTGCGTTTGTTATTGATCGAAGATATTTGGATGGGAAACGCTGAAGCATTTCGATGTTGAAGACGCTGGCTGAGCCCCAAAGTTGAATGTCTTAGGTCCACATGAATTGCTGGATACTTTTATATACATGTATTTTTTTGACAGTCATAGTTGTGTCACACTACCGATTAGCCGTTGGTAGTTATTAGTTTTTAATTCTAGTTCATTTCTTTTCTTATTTATATGAACCTTCCACGTTAATCTTCTATCTTAATTATCATCTAGTTATTTGACTTTGTTACTTGAGGTATCTATTTATTGCTTGTTCTTATTGCTGGACGGTCGTTTTTTTTACGGCGAAGATCACTTGTTTAGAATTTAATTCGTTTATTTTAATGCACCAACGAGAAAGACACTGGTATATTGTTTTTAAGTGGTTTTCTAGTTCTTTTGACGATACTTTGCGACCTTCGCTTGATGCTTGTACTGCCATGTCGGTTGTTACATTGTTGGCTGTTGGTCTATCATTAGTGATAATGAGATACAATATTCGAGGTAGACCCCAACGCACTTCGTTGAGAGACTTTGGCTTCTATAGTTGAAATTAGGACAAGGCAGTTCTATTTCACTTGGAAGAATCAATTAAATAGAATTTGACAAGGGTAAAGACATGGGATGAAAATAATTTCTTGATTTTATACAACAGCACTTGATGCCATATTTTGTCAAAGGCTGGTATCACATCTCGAAATACCGATAAGCACTATCTTCTACTACAAGTCTTCGTTGATCATGTTCTCTATTTTGTGAACTTGTTCAATTGTTAAATGTAGTTGCCGAAATCCAAATCGGTCTGTTATCAAGTACTTTACTTTTAAGATTGGTAGAATTCGTTTTATAATGAGTTTCTCAAACACTTTCGAGAGAATTGGTAACAAGCTGATGGGCTGGTAGGAAGTGAAATAATGGGAATCTTTCTCGAAGAACTTTACTTTCTACCATGTTCCAATGTGGAGGAAAGTAGGATATTTTAAGTAGTGCATTAACAATTGATGCAATAAGTGCTGTTGATTTTGCGAGTAGGTTTTGAAGGATTTCAGACGTTATAAGATCGTATTCTGGTGCTTTGTTGCGAGGTAGCTTCTTAATTGTTTCATTGCTTTTCTTGGACGTAAATGCCTTCATTGTAGGTGACTATATTTTGGATGCAAGAAAGAAAGTGATTTCTTCCTTTTCCGATGATTGATTCAAGACATTAGGCTTGAATACATCTAGGAAGTATTCAGCAAACACGTTTGCTCTATATTCTTGTGATATAGTCTATTTTCTGTCTGGTGTTAGGATCGGAGGTGTTTGTCTCTTTAACGTCTTGTATAATGAGTGAACAGCTGCTTTTGTTGGCGCGAGGTTTTTTAGAAAATATTCTGCGTCTCTTAGTTCCATTCAATTTTTTTTATTATTATGATTACCATGATTCTTTGCCATACTTTTTTAAGGTAGCACTTCCCTATTGGTAGTTCCATGATTAATTTGGGGTATGTTTTATTTCGAAGTATTTCATGGTTTTGTTATCAATTCATACTTGAAAACCGTCCAAATTCGTTTTTTACCACTTAACGTTGCTGCTTTCATTTCATCTATTGTATGGCAGCTGAGTGTTAATAATATAGTCGAATGATCTGATATCACGTTCTAAAAATGTTCAATTTTTGTATAATTTCTAGCCTCATTATAAAAGGTCATGCGCAGGGTATACATGCGTATTGTAATACGTTTCCTACAGTTAATTTCCATTTAAATTTTTATTCTTGATCTCAACAATAGGTGCTTTGCAATGAAATTGCCAATAACCAAAAATCTTTTCCCCCAATGTATTGAAGAAATATTAATATGCAGTTTTGCTGATTTAGTGTTTTGGGCTATAAGCAGCTGTCACTGTTTAAGTGGCATATCTGTTGGACACATATACTAACGTTGTCTGAATATAATGCTCTTGAAAGAAGGTCGCTCATTGTGTTTGATACTTCTATTTATTATGACTGTGTCGCAGTGAGTGGTGCCGTCAGGGTGATTTGTATGATCTACATTATATCCGATAGATTCAAGTAGCTTTTAGAAGTCAAATGGGCTTCTACTACTAGTGCTATACCAATTCCATACACGATTAGATCTGCTTCTAATTCTCATCTGTGTTGTATAACGTTTGAAGTCCAAGCTATTATCTTGAAACGTAAGTTGATAATTTGGTTACGAATTTGGACATGGGCTTCAAAAAGTTTGCAAATGGTCTTACCCAATATATCTTTAAAACGCATGATTCCTTGGTTGTTTCTGTTAGGTTGGGTTCAATGTTATTTGACGGAAACGTATCATTTTTAACTGCACTTGCGTAGTTTGAATTATTACTGGACGGTAAATTGTGTGGTTCTGCCAGTTAATTGCCGAAAGTATTTTCTTGTTGTTCACAGCGTTGTAAGATAGACACAAAGAAGTGTTTTTCTCTATATTGCATTTCGGATATCTTGATCTTCAGATGTGCTATTAAACTTCGCACTCTTTGCAACTTGCTGAATGATTGCCTATACAATTTGCACATGTGGATATTGCACCTTGTTTGCTGCATTCTGACGATCCGCTGTAACTATGTTTTCCCGGCACATTTCATGCATCACAATATTTCCACGTGTGTTCAAATTGCTGACATCTTTATATCGAGGTATTAATCGTTTTCTATGTGAGGGTTCAAATCTGATTTTAATATAATATCTTTGTTCTTTACACTGGGTTGAATTTCAATAAATAACAACGGTTACCCTGTGTTTGATATTATAGATTTGTCGTACTTGATGCCACGCTTCAAGTTCGTTTTTAATGTCTTGTTTCTACTGTCGGGTGCAGTCGTCTTAGAACTATTCTTAAGTCTCTTCCTGATTTATTTGGTACGTACGGAAAGCTACCTTCTTCTGTTTTAGTTCGTGGACGAAAGCACGGCACCACAAGAATGTTTCCGGTGTGGCGGGGTTAGTCTTCATTTCAGAGTCCTTCATGAATTTAAGTTTGTAGTTCTTTACAGGTATGAATTGCAGGTAATTTGTCCGATTCCGGTTTCAGTTTCAATTTCTGTTTTGTGTAGCTATTCGGTTAATTTTTTGGATCTTTCACACCTGATACGAGTAGGGATGGGGTTTTGGATACAACTTGCTGTTCTTCTTGCGACTCAGTATCTGACACATTTAAATGTTGAATTGCAGAATGAGTTGTGAGCGGCGAAGAACTATCGCTTGTTTTCGGCTTTTTGATGGCGGTTGACTCACCAAACTCTTCTGCTTTGTCTTCTCGCAGCTTTCTTTTGTTTGAAAGCTGCGACCGCGACGAACATGCAGTTTGTGGCCGTTGTCTTTCTTCTTCCAACCTCTGGTACATTTCATCTAGCTGTGTTTGCTGTTCTTGAACCACTTGTTGCAATTGAGCCACGCGTTGTTCCATCATTGTAATCTGCTCCGACGGCGACGGCAATGGTTCGTTCGAGTTGTTCTCAGTGTTTTCACTCTCCATTGTTCCGTCAGTGTTTAGTGTTGATAACGCAGCAAAAACGAGCTTTTCCGTATCGGGGCATCTATCAGAGTTCAGCGTATCACTTTCTTCTGGGTATTTACATCACACGCACTTATCAGTAAGTTAGCAGAAAACACTATTGTCACTGGAGCTGAGTGTTTGAGTAACGACTATTACGAGCGCCCCGCGGTGCGAACGGATCAGCGGTCAGACCTCGAATCTGGAGAAGAATGAAACCACATTAGTGATCATATGTGTAGTAATGAGACAAAGTTGATGACAGTGGTCTCAATTATTTTCCAACACATGCGTCGCTAAATGAGACTGTCAGACATGCTTAACAGTGGTATAGCAGTGAAGTAAATCAACGATGGACCCCAGCGTAATTTTTGATCTATATTTGTTTACAAAAGATGTTACTATTATTTATTTTAGGACTACTACTACTATTATTAAGTTTTCTTGAACTCTGATAATTTGACTTTCAACAATTGTCTTTTTTTATGACAACTGTCCTCATGCGTAATCACTTAGTGGAATGTGCGGTGTTCCCTTATAGCTCGTAGTAACGGTGCAATTTTATTTTATTTTCTGCAGATGTAGATACAAGTTCTTCAAATGCAACAACATAGTTAATATTGAAGTAGTTCTTCACAACAAGGACGTCTCGGCCTGCATGGCTACGGAAATGATCGCAAATACAGAAAATGTTCAAAATATATATGCTCTTGTCAAATCTGAAAATTATTTAAGACAATCTTTCAGAAAAATCCCGTCGGATGACTCATGAACAGCGACTAGCTTTGAGTGGTGCGACCCGGCTTCGATTCTCAATCGAAACAAAATTGAGCTGTACGATTCCAATAAAATCATCTGTTTCCGTTGCTGGGTGACAAAGAAAAGCTCAGGCCAGACGAATTTACGGGATACAGTGAAGGGAATATATCATGTTTGTCACAAGCCTTTCTTACTCTCCCCTGCGAAGAAATCAAACTAGTCCCTTGCCGGGAACACAGTAAGCTAATATGATAATATTAAATCGCATTCCTTCATACTCATATTGCTTAAACCAGTAACATAATCCAGGGTATTATTAGAGAGATACACCGCGTTATACCTCTAAAGAATTCACATATTTTACTTTGCTATTAATTTTATTCCACACCAAGAGACATCTCGTGCTGTAAAAGATGTTTGAAATTCATGAAAGTCAGACCACAATTGTGTTAGTTGCATTGGTAGTGAAGGAAGAGAATCATATTAAATTGAATCATTCTCATTACAAAAGAACCATGCATGCATAATGTGGCCTCATGTCTCTTAAATAAACTTTCAAATAAGTTTTCTGAAACTCGGGAACGAAAATGTCTAGTTTCTCAAATGTTGCTAATTTCGCTCTTTTTTAAATTATATTTTTGTTTATTTATCTTTAACTTTTACTCATCGTTCCACTATTTATAGTTACAATGATAGTTAGAGATTCTGGAACTCAAGGAAACGTGCGCAGTCCTTCTCCCCCATACGTCACATACAGTGTTTACTGTTTTTTGACTAAATAAATCTTAATCTTAACTGTAATCTCAATTCTTAAAATTATTCTCATCGATTGAATAAGAACTTTCTTAATTATACATTGAACTAAAATCGAAATGGAAATCAATTAATTTTCAACAAATTCATTTTACTTTTTGGAAAATATTAAATGAGATTATAATGTTACTCTTGAACTTGTTGAAAAAATGAGAAAAGTAGCGTAGCGACGGTTAACAGATACGAGTATACGGCAACAAAATGCAAAGCCTCTATAAAATGATAGAACGCATATCCAATAATAGTTTCAAACTGTAGTAAATTTTGTTTAGAGCACAATGAAGAATTGCACAGTCAAGTTAAGAGGCGAATTCACGCTTTTCTTATAACACGCAAAGCTCTTACTAACTTTATTGTGCCGATATATATACTATGTCGCCTGTCGGGGAGGCGACGGGGCAGGAGGTGATTGGCGGTAAGGCGAGGCATTGTGGAGCTTAAAACAGCAAAGCGAAGATGTTTCCGCCCAACATAAGAGGCAGCAATATAAGGAGAGAAACGCAGACTTGAAGACTGACGTGTTCACAAAGACAGGCGTAACAAAGAGCGAGACGCAACTTAAGACTCACATATAAAAGGGAACTACTAGTGCCAAGCGATCTTCGCAAACGGCCCGGAAATTTAAGCAACAGCACAAAGGAGAACAGCAGAATGAACTTAGAAGCAAATTCACGCCCCATTCCCATCAGCTGGAAGGCGACCCGGCCAACATCGGGGCTCTAGCTGCGGTGAAGGCGCGGGCGCGGGCGTGGGCGTGGGCGTGGGTGCGGGCAGGGCGCAGGGAGGAGGCGGGCGGGTCGAGTCGACGGCCCGGAGTGGGTCGCGGTGGAGGAGAACAAGGCACAGATACAGAGAAACGCTAAGAAAGCGCAATGCGAGGCAGAGCAGAAGTACACGAGGAAAACGATACACGGAAGGTGCAGAGAACAAATAGAAGGGTTAGAAGATCTCAAGAATTGGAGAAAAACGATGAACGGTTTTAGAGTGAGGCGGAGAGGAACGCGAGAAATGCAGAGTTATTTGTAGGTTGGGCGGAACGCGGGGCCGCGGGGAAAAGAGCACAACGAAGCGGGCCGGACAATCTCGTACGGAAGGGAGAAGGATGAGAGCAGGGCGAAGGAAGAGTGCAGTGAA